GTGGCCTCCCCGCCGAGGGGGCGGGAGGAGGCTCCGGGCCTGCGCTGAGGTGTCCTACCCTCATCCCAGGGTTTTGTGTTTAATGTATCTGTGGTGTTTTATGTGTGTGTGTGTATATGTATATAGACACACTTAAATGTGATTTTCTCCTGTCAACCTGGAGCTGGACACTTTTCTTTGCAATGTCCTCCCACCTCCAACGTAAAGCTTTAATATGGCTGATTTTTTACAGTTCTCTCCAATTTGGCATCTCTGAAATAATAATAAAGTAGAGAGAAAAAAAAAAGAGGAAGCTCTGTAAGTACTTCTTGAAAAATCCTTCATGTTTCCTCATTAATGGTGTTAGTAGAACCCAGAGATGATCGCAGGTGACATCCTGTGACGCCTGTCAGGCTTGGGGTCCGCTCAGGACAGCAGTGCTTCCACGGTGATGTCCCTTGGGCGGCTGCAAAGGGCTGTCACAAGTAAGAGCCGCCATTCCCTCTGCACGCCTTCGGGCTGGGTGTTAGGCACGCTCTGCCCGTAGCGTGGGACTCGCCATGGTTCACACGGGCGGCTCTCCGCACGCTTGCAGTCGGAGGTAGCTACGTGCTTTGCTGCCCTCCATATCTCGCTGCTGCAAGTATTTGCTAATTCATGATGCCGAGTGTTGACAAAAAACCCGTGTCCTGTATTTCAAAGGCAGTAGCTGCTGAGGAACGAGCCAGGTACTAACTGATACCTTAAAATGCACAAGGCCCTCGAGAGTTTCTGCAAAAGTAAAATGAGGAAAATAAACCATAGTAAAAAAGCTTAAATATCAAAGGTTGTGCAAAGGGCATTAAACACAGTCTGTGTTCCTGCACAGGGAGACAAATCTCAGAGAGACTGAGCTGCCAGCCTGCATGCGGAGAGCAATGCGTCCTTCACACGATCAGACTGTCTGGTGAGGCTGGGATTGACCTGGAAAACGTTTTATCTGAAAGATGGATTTAGCAGGCAAAACAGTCACCAGAGTTTACTGCAAATCTGCTTTTTGAGTTGATCATCTGTTGGATGCTGCCTGGAAATCTTTCTATGCGCTGCCTTAAGGCTCTGGGAATTAGTGTGGGATCATATTTTATCCACATGTCTCTTAGCCACAGATTCATACTGTTTTAATTTAAAGCTTTACTATAGGTTGCCTGTTTTTCTGAAGGGCAAACTGAGAATAAATACTTTCTGATGTTATAGATCAGGATGATGGTTTGGGTTGTAGAAGTATTTTCCACTGAACTGTGTGGCTGTTAATGCTTGGCTTTGTCCCTTAGTTGCAATTCTTGATTATTATTGGTTGTCCTTAAAAAAAAAAATTTCATTATGGAGTTATCATTTTTAGTGTGCATGACGAACTAGTTTACCTTGGTTTTTCTAGCTTTTTCTTAACTTATTTAACAGCAACGTTTTCAGCAAAGCTGTATACAGGGAACAAGCTAGCACGTGAAATTGCAGTAGGCACCTATACGGAGAATTTAATGGGTACGTGTTTGAGACAAGTACCTGTTTGAAACCAGTATTTGAACCAAAGACAGGTCACACTGGGTGTGAACACCTGGTGTGTGTCAAAGCAATGCATTGTTTTAATGTCACCGTTTGACAGGGGAAAGAGACAGATGGTTGTAGGGAGCACGAAATACGTTGAGCCGTGCGGGAGGGCAGGTGCAGGAGTCGCACGGAGAAGCAGTATGGAATTTGTTCTCCAGCTCGGCGAGGCCGAAGCACGGCAGGAGGCCACCCGTGGGGCTGTAAGACGGGAGGGACAGCCAGGCTCTTCTGCCCCGAAGCAGCCAGCCAGCC